TATGAAATATTAAACCATGTCCATTCTATAAACATTAAAATATAGTTTAGTTGTAGCAAACTTTTCATACCGTTATTTTTACCATTAATAATATCTTAACATGAATTAGACAGCCTTTAGTCAACCACGAAAAAAAAACGATTTGTTAACTTTTAGATCCAAATTAGTACCTTACGCAAGAGACGTAAGGGTCTTGGTGCAAAATAATTCTCAGTTGACAGTATGTTGGAAGCATGAGAAAAGTAAAACGCAGTTGACCGCAGAATTTATTCTAGTGAAGGGAAGGAAACAAGACATCAGCATGCTGGGAAAATTTTAGTATCATATACAGGTTTTAACAACTTTTACTATAATTTTTTTCATCTATTAGTCATTATTTGCCATGAGGAGTAAATCCCCAAGTTTATGCGTATAGGTTGAGAATCATCCTGTATATTATTGTATCTATACTTTCTAATAACTTACTAACTCATATCTGGTTTCGTTCTGAAATATTTCTGAATACTTCGTCATTATTTGTCCTGAGGAATAAAGCTCTCAGTTTATGCGTATAGGCACAGAATCACGCTGTATACAAAGAATAAAGAAAAACGGGATTCACCTTCATGACGACCACGCCATTAATCCTGAATCTGAAGAGAAAAAGAAAATAGCGAGCCGAATGTGTAACATTGGTCATACTTTTCATAATGCTGAATGGAGTGATATTAATTCACAAGTATTAAGAAAAATTATGAAGAAAAATTTTCCTAATTGTTATCCCACCAATTGACGTAAATGAAGCTGTTGCACTTCTTCAACCTGTACTGATTGGTTCTTAATGTATGTGCTAAGTTTTTTTACCATTCAAACCATACTTCGTTCACACATTTCCGCAAATAAAGCAAACAACCGCTGTTATACATTGTTTTAGGTTATTATAATGTCACACTGAGAGAAATGGATTGTGTTATGCACTAAAAATATACTATAAGGTATAATACTTTACTACGAAAAGTGACAGCGAAACGAGATTACATTCAGTACAATAAATATAATGAATATAATACAATGAATTGCTGCATGTATAATATTTTTTCTATAATACGATTCGTACAATCTATTTCTTTCAGTGCAATAAGTCTTGGAGTGCGCGTTCTTTCACCATTCCCCATACCCAGAAATCACAGAGTCGAGTCTCATGACCGTGATAATCAAGGTAAAGCTCTATGTCCTTTTCCAATCCAATGTCTATCAAAAGTTTTATCTAGGTAATGTCGAATAAATAAGGAATAATGCAGTGATGCATCTTATTGAAAGTAATAAGACGTTATAATACAGAGAGAAAAATTGTCTATAACTAAATTCTACAAAATATCTAGATAACAATATACCGTTATAGACTGATCATTCAAAGAAATATGAAGCAAGTCCAAACCTTGAAATGCTACACCATACTTTCTGAGAGATTCGAGTATGGATTTGTTTTATAACAAACAAGCGAATTTTCTCTGAAACAGAGAAACATCTGTTAGCAAATTATGTAACAACAGCTGCTGATTTACATTATGCTATCCCGATACAAGAATTACAAAAATTAGCATATGAAATCGGTGTTGCAAATAAAAAAGTTATATCAGATTCGTGGATTAAAGAAAGAAAAGCTGGTAGGGAATAGGTTTGCGGGTTTCTATCTCGACATCCAACAATAAGCCAGAACCTGTTTTTCGTGAAGCTAGAAATGATGTTAAACGAAGTTAAACAGAAGAAAAAAATGTTAAACAAAATGTAAAAAGAAAAATTGCTAGAGAAGCAGTAACATTTAAGAATGGTTTAAAGAGAAACAAGAAAGAAAGTAGTGAGACGAATATTACGAAAATATTCAGCTGTCAGTCTTCATCAGATGATGATCCACAAAGTTACTTTGAATTGAGTAGAGAAGAAAAAATCGAAAAAGACGAAACAACATTTTGTTTCCAGAATAGTTAATAAAATTGATGAGGGTATGCGACCTATTAATTGACGACTTTTCAAGTGACGAAGTAGTGTTGTCTTAGCAAATTGGTGTTTTACAGCCGCTTGACCAACAGAAAATTGTGCACGATGTGCACAAGAACATCTTCAACGTATAATTTTACAAAAAAATAGTTGGCACAAAAGCAGCTCGAATTTTATTCTCAGCGATAAAGACGTTTCTTTTGTTGACAGTAATAGTATACTGTTTCGTCTTCCCACACCTGCTGTCGATGTTTTTTAATTAAAAATATATCTATGAAATATTTTCAAAGTTTATTTCGATCCTTTTGATAATGGTAGGTACTTGTCACATTTTATTATCTATTTATTATTTAATAATAATGTAGATAAATAAAATTAGATTTAGTTACTAACTGGTCCAAGGTATATTCAACGTTGGTTCAAGGTACAACCTGTATTGTACCTTGGATCAATTCACATTTTTTCTTTTGAAGAATTTTTTACCCATAAAATGAAGTATTTTGCGATTGCGACTATGAAATTTTATCAGTTCAAGCATTACAGAATCGATTTAAACCAAGAGATTTGATTAATAACTGATGAATTTTGAAATATTAGTTGTAGAAATAAAATGGTCCGTTGTACAACACATTCTCCTACAGAATCTAAGCGCACAAATATCTCAAATATCGCATCTTTGCAGATATTTCGGGTAATAGGGAATGTGCGATTTTTTAATAGACGTCTCTGGTAAATTAGCATTGTTAATTAATAGGGTAAAATTATTGATCAACAATTTTGTTTGAATCTGAATAGCAGATATAGTTACAACAAAGCTAATTTCATTAAATACACCTGTAGATCAATTAATATTAAAACTAGATATGTCTCCTACCGCTAATAATAAGGAAGTAGTGCATAGAACACCTTCATGATCGCCAAAACAAACGTTATCGAATAAAAATAGTCCATAAGGAGTTGAGTATCCCATTTCAAAACATTTTTATGCGCTTAATATCCCCAAAAGATCAACATGTAGTAGATCAAAATAGTAGATAATCAAATAAAGTTGAGTTTTCTTCAATTTGAATTATAGTAAACCCTCAATATAACAGATTAATATGGGAAAGGAAGTATAGTAGACTTTTGGCTATAGTGTATTATAGCCAAAAGTCTATTATATGAATAATTTTTAATTTGCACTTTAAACTGTTGAATGAATGAATAATTTTAAAGCATAGAAATTCGAACAGCAAATTCTGACAACTATTGCATTCTTTAGTAATTAGTTCTACTTTTAGTTGAATAAAAATATACAACAATCTAGCGCCGAATAACAACTAAAACTAGAGCTAACACTAACACTAGATCTAGAACTAGAAACATTTGGGTTTAGCATAGGCTGAAGTCCCACAGCTAAACTTCAAACTTTCTAGTTCTAAGCCTAGTGTTAGTTCAACAAAAATATACAACAATCTAGCACTGAATAACAACTAAAACTAGACCTAGAACCAGGAACATTCTAGTTCTAATAGCCATCTCAGAGTTTTGTTTCAGCAAAACGATGTACCTTCTCATTATACTAATAACTTTGAAGATCTAAAGAAGAAAATTAAATTAATCCATTGTAATTAATGAAAACTATAAAACAATATTAATTTAAAACTCAAGTCAATTTAAAAAGTATGAATAAATAAATTCATTTTAAGTTTTCATCCTTTTCTTACAATCCATCTGTAATAATAAACTAATTAATTTAAATTAAGGAGAAATAATTATATAAGGAAATGNTTTCAGGCTGCGAGAGAATATTAAAGCATTATCGTAAAACTAATTAGATTTATGCTGCAGTTTTAATTCTCCACGCACTTTAATTCTTCTTAATTCAAGTTTTTGATATGACAAGATGGAGCCAAGAATTAAAAGAGACTTCGATTCAGAAATTTGAAGATGTATACAAAGCCTATTTCCATCAATCAGAAGGCCAACCTTCGAAAGTTCGAAAGTTGGAGGAACGCGAAGATTCTAGAGCGGAAAAGTCGGATTTTGTAATTGATTTTGATGTTTTGTATGCAGTAAATGCTACGCCTTCGGAAGGAGAATGGATGCAGGAGCTTCAAAAATATTATTCTATGCCTCGATGTAATAAAGACACAGATATATTACAATGGTGAAAAATTCGTGCTTTTGAATTTCCGGCACTTCAGTACTTCAGTCCCGGCGGAAAGATTACTCTCTCTATATCAGTGGTGTCCACTAATTTTTGATGAAGATCGACTTTTTATATAAATGTCTTGCTAAGATCGACCAAAGGTTTAAAATCTGTTTTAGTTAGCCTTAAAAAAAAAAAAGAAGGTAACTTTTAAAATACCTTTTTTTTTTAGAAATATGTATATCTGGGCTCTTAGGCCCAGATACACATATTTCAGATTCATGATTTGGTTGGCGACCGACTCAAAACGGCTTCGCGATCGACGTTATGGACACCACGGATATATATCAATATAGACAACTCGGGGAATACCCCAAGTTTATCTATGAACATGGAATAGAGCAACTTGGGGAATAACTCAAATTGGAATCTGTCTATAAGCGCTAACATTTATAGTTGAATAAACTGATCTATTAAACAGATAATATTAATAGTATGACTTAAAAATATTTTGTCTGTTATATCCCAAGTCTGTTCTAATAAGGTTTATTATATAAAGGTTTTGCTGTATTTTTGGCTTTAGCATAAATTGTTACTTTATTACATCTCAGAGTTTTGTTCCAGCAAAATGATGTACCTTCTCATTACACTAATAACTTTGAAGATCTAAAGAAGAAAATTAAATTAATCCATTGTAATTAATGAAAACTATAAAACAATATTAATTTAAAACTCAAGTCAATTTAAAAAGTATGAATAAATAAATTCATTTTAAGTTTTCATCCTTTTCTTACGATCCATCTGTAATAATAAACTAATTAATTTAAATTAAGGAGAAATAATTATATAAGGAAATGGTTAAAAGAAATAACAATAATCATTACCTTATTCAAATGATTTCTATTTTAAAAATTGAGAAAAAAAAACTGTAATATACATCACGCAATAAAAAAAACATCAGCAAGCACCCCCATTTCTTCTTTAGGTCACTTCTTCCCGGACTTTTTTATCCCACCACTAGTTAACGGCCCTTTTTGGGCCGCCTTAGCCTTCGCATCTGCCATAGCTTTAGCTTGCTCTTTTTGTTTCTGTTTAAACGCTACATCCTCTTCGTCATAATCTTTTGAATCTTTTTTCGGCGCTTTTAGCGGCTTTTTCTTACCACCTTCTCTTCCGGACATAACCTAAAAAAAACATACTTATGCAAACATAACCTATCAACGTATGGACACAAATTATATTCTAAAAAGAATAATCGTTACTTACGCGATTTACTGGAAATGTATATTGAAAAAATCGATCTTTTACCGATTAGAATCGGTGAGCTTTTTTGGAGATTTCAAGCAATAAAATTTGACAGTTAAAATGTGACAAATAATATAGGTTATGTTCGTTGTTTTGTATACTTGTTATTTGTGATATTGTGGGGATTATGAATTTTTGTTGTGTAATAACGTAAAAATAAAGAATTATTTTTAATTTTTTGTTAATAAAGGTATTAAAATAAATTTGGACATATTATAAAGTTTAAATAAAGAAATTTTAAATAAAAGTAAATGATGTTCATTTCACATACTTGTTAGATAGAAATTGAAAGATATTTTAATATTCTAATAATTTCATTATGTTTTGAATTAGGGGTTTTTAAATAATATTTAATGAAATATTAATTGAATTTTAAAAAAATTTGAATGTGCTTTAAAACTTTATTGATTTTTTTAAATTTGGCGCTTTATAAAAAGCCCATCCCCACTCAAAATTTCTCCTCCCAAGTTCCAAGGCTAACCTCTCTGAAGTCAAACAGCTGACTAGTTTCAAACGAGCTTGCAACCCTAACGGATCGCGTTGGTCAACTTTCGAGTTGCATTGTCTGCAAAAAAAGAAAAGACACTTAATTTCAAGCGAAAATGTGCTCGAAAAGTCATAGGACTACCATATACAGTGCGGTTATATAGCAGCAATTAAAAGAACGGATCGCCAACGTACGGAATCGAGGTAAATTGGCGATATTAACACGTTCTCTCTGTCTATCTGTTTTTGTTCTGTTTTTATTCTGTTTCTGTTCTGTCCCCCCTTGTTTATTATAGTTAAGCTCCCCCTTGAATTTGCTCGTTCGCATCCGTTACGTTAAATAGTGACATTAATGTGATATAAAACTATTTATTTATTGAATTTAATTTATTAATACAATTATATTTAATGTTTTTAAACACCCTGTATAAATGGAATCACTATCAAGTATTCTGTGGGGTGCCATTTTGTCTGTTTATCATTTGTAAACAAAGTAGTCTCTGACAGAACAAGACGACTTTTGTTTTTTTTTTGTTTTAAGTATTTAGTTAATTGTTGTGATTGTTAATTTTGTTTTTAAAACAATTAGTATCGAAAAAAAGAAAACATGATTGTTGTCATTGTTTTTTTTTAATATTTAAAACGTGATTATTTCAAAAATCTGTTCCATTTTTTTTGTGTCAACTTGAGTGAGTAAAAGTTTTTCCAACAAGAGAAAGTGTACTTGTTTAGTTGAATTGCTTGAATGTTACTTGCTTTAATTATTTTTTATTACTCTATATGTCTTTTATTTCGTGTTATTACGCAATATTTTGCCCACATTATTTCAAATTTCGTAATTTGATTACTATGTGTTAAATCAATTTTTGTTTTATTTATTTTAATTTAGTGTCAAATGTAACATATTGACCTCGAACAACACAATATTTGCAATAAACGAATTGATACGCAATCAAAAATAAAAGTTGTTTTATCATTTACACCTTGTGTTTTTTAAAAAATACATTTTTAATCGAAAATTGGGATTTACTTAACGATTTTATCTACTTACGTACGTTTTTATTCTTATCGAATTTTGTAATAAGATGTACTTAATTAAAAGTCATTACTTTCGATCGATTTGATAAATTATCATTTCAAATTCACTTATCCTTCATACCTATGATAAAATTTATCTTAATGAAACAGCTGTTTTTAAATAAAATGTTATAATAATAATTTTGTAATTGACAAAACTTTTTATTTTGAAATAACCGTCGAAACCTGACGACAAAATCTACAAAATCAAAATGACGACAGTTAAGGTTTAAAAACCCGTATTACAGTTAAGTGACGCTATTTCTCAATTAATGTTCGATTAACATCACGTTAATCGTATATGCTGAGGTTTAAAGTCAACTTAAAGTACAATTCCGTGACAGGCTGCAAAAGCAACTGCAGGAGACACTTTGGTATATACAGGGTGTTAAAAAAACAATGTAAAACATTTAAAGATGTAATAGTATGGACCAAAATAAACAAAAAAGTCTTAATAGACATGGATCCGCAAATTAACGGTTTCGGAGAGATGGCTTTCTTATCATAAGTGGCTTATCATTGTGAAATGAACATTGGCTGTTGACTGTTCGACTGTTATTACTGCATAAGTTTTCATTTGCTATGGTTGTTTACTCTAACGCAGAATTAACTGACATACATTTCATGTATGGTCGTGCTAATGGGGTTGCCTCCGAAGCGCAAAGATTTTATGCTGAAGCTTATCAAAATCGCCAGGTTCCTTCACATCGTATTTTTGATAGAATTCATCAAAGATTGCGTGATACCGATTCATTAAGCAGGCAATGCTCTTTATTCGATAGAAGATACATGTATCTCCATGAAAACTAGTAGTGTCGCTTGTTGGTTGTCCCTTTATACAGGGTGTTTCATGAGGGATCAGAAAAGTTCCTAAAAGCATGTTTCAATTCTCAAAGGTGACTGAGATACAGCCAGTTAATGCATAAATTGATATCACGCACGTCTGTTGTGAAACAGTCATTTATCAACGTTTGACATTTAACATTATTTGGTTGACGTGTCAACTAAGTTATTGATAATGCCACCCATATTGACTCATGACTCAGAATATGCTGATATGATTCCTAACCGAGTGCTACCAGATTGAAGAGCATTTACTCGAACATTCAACAGATTGCTTGCACATCATTCTCAACGTGCAGGTGTGCAAACTCAAATGAAGGTGAACAAATTCTTCAGTCGGTAGAACGCACTCCATTTACCAGTACAAGTAGACTTCTTGTTCGTCTTGGTGTTCCTCATGTAAAAGTATGGAGAACATTGCGTACTCATGGCTTGTATCCATTCCATGTTCAACCAGCACAACACCTTGAACCAACAGACTTTTCCAGGAGATACTTGTGATACGTTTTACCGATGAAGTCACTTTCACCCGTAATGGAATCAATAACAGTTGAAATGATCACCGTTGGTCTGAGGATAATCCGCATGCCAGTGTTGAAACAAATTTTCAAGTAAAATTCTCTGTGAATGTATAGTGTGGAATGATTGACAATAACTTAATTGGGCCTTTCGTACTACCCGAGCGTCTAACAACGGACAGATACCTAGAGTTCTTTCGCAATCAGCTTCCAATACTGTTAGAAGATATTCCTTTGGCTACCAGAGCCAATATGTTCTTCCAGCATGATGGGGCCCTGCACACTACGGCCGCCAAGTGACGCAATACTTGAACCAAACCTTTGCGGAACCAAAGCTCGGTCTTAATCCGTTAGATTACGGAATGTGGAGATGGCTGAAAAGCGATGTTTATCAAGTAAAAGTAAACAAGCGTGATCAAGGCACATCAGGATAAATTACGCAGAACAGTGCGTGATATCTTCAAAAGATCAGCCAAGTGCATCGAGTCGGATATTCGAACCCTTCCTTTAAAGTCCGAATTTCGATATTTTATGTACACATTTAAATAAATCAGTTTATGCTTTAACTGACTGTATCTCAGATACCTTTGAGAATTGAGCACATGTTTTTAGGAACTTTTCTGCTTAAAATAACGTATGTACCATTCCCCATGAAACACTCTGTATAAAAAAAATATATAACACCTTGAATACTGTGGGTAGTACTCTAAGGTGTGGTCTGAAATCCTATGCTAGAAGATAACGATGGACAAAGTACAGAGACGGTTCTTTCAAATTAAAATGTAACCCAAAGTAAAATGAAATGGAATTAAGGCTGTAAATACAGGGTGATTCTCAACTTATACGCATAAACTTAGGGATTTATTCTTCAGGGCAAATAATAACTAACAGATGAAAAAGTTTGTAGTAAAAGTGTTTTAGTTTCCTATATATCCGATATAATCAGCGACATCTAGATAATGTGTTTCATGGAAGATGGATAGATAGGGATATGTTTATGTGTATAAGTTGAGAACCACCCTGTATACAAATTACTTCTACTACTACTAAGCTTCTCCTCAATGTGGATAGCTCAATACTTCTGGAAATTACTGGAGTTTAGCATAGCTTCACGGAATTCTTACTATTTCTAACAAAATTAGTTCTCACTGACCTTGAAAATAACTCACACGATGGTAAGCATGGTTATAACAATGACAGGTTATGACTTCTTGAATCAGGTATTTGACGAGATCTTCTTATTGTCGTCTTTTAAACATGATTTTCTGTAAACTCGAAAGAAAATCAAATTATTGCAAAGATTTGGTAGTTATTTAATTGCATTTATACTGCTAATTGTTATCTTTTAATGCTGTTAATTGTTAACTGGCATCAAGTCCTTTGCTAGCAGTGTTAACTATTCTATAAGGAGGATATAGTTTTTAATTGCTAGTATGTAAATTCCTGCAAGCAGTATTTAATCCTCTGTTGCTATATCTAAACTTCTTCAAGTTGTGTCTGGTTTTCTATTAGCAGTGTTTGCTGTCACGTTAGCAGTATCTAGTGTTCTGCTAGCAGTGTCTATCAGAAAAATCTAGTCTTCCATTAGTTACTGTTCTGCAAGCAGTATTTACTCTTGTATTAGTACTATCTGGTCTTCTGCCAGCAGTATCTATAAGAAACATTTTGTCTTCCAACGGTTAGTCTTCCATTGGTAGTAACTGGTCTTTTACAGAGAATAGGTGGTGTTCTGTAAGTAGTATTTAGTCTTGTATTATAATATCTGATTTTGTAGCAGCAGTATCTATAAGAAAGATCTAGCTTTCCAATGGTTAGTGTTTTATTGATAATAACGGGTCTCCTGCAAGCAATAAGTGGTGTTCTGCACAGTGTATATACTTTTATATTAGCATCTGGTTTCCAGCATCTGGTTTTCTGCCAGCAGTATCTCTAAGAAAGATCTAGTCTTCCATTGG